AACGCTTAGATAGGCGTGTAAAGTGTAACTTTCTAACCACACCTCTCTCTCCCTCTCTCTCTCCCTCTCTCTCTCTCCCTCTCTCCCTCTCTCCCTCTCTCTCTCTCTCTTTCTCTCTCTCTCTCTCACACACACACAGTATCTCTTTTACTCACACACACACACGTACAGATTAAATGAGGTGTCAAAATAATAAACTCAGATTGACAGCTGAGTGACCCAGTGGACTCTCTAAACAAATGTTCTGCTGAATCCTGCACGGATACCTCTCAATGCAAACAAGGACAAACCCACTCATTCTTTATTATCACTACTTTTACAATGACAGTAAAGTGATGAAAACTATGAAATACCAGAAAGAAAATTTTGGAAAACCTAAGTTTATTCTTAAATTGCATTGCTTATATAGTGAGGTTTACTTTAAACCGCATAAACACATTTCATTACACCAAATACACAAAATAATGTTCTTTTTAGCAACATCATATGACCCCTTTAAACTATGTGAAGTTTACTGTATGTTGCATTCTGGAGTAATTTTACTGAACTATGTTTCTTTCACTGAATGAAAAGAATGACTTGCTTATACTTAATTTGACTGTCAGTGTAGGTTCCTCATTACTACAACATTACTGGGGACTCATATGTTACACAGCTCAGAAAGATTCTCACTGTGAAAACTCTCAGTTTTCTCAAAAGAGTGTATACAGTGCCACCTTCAGGTCACTTTACTATGGCCTTCAGCCACTTGATATGGCACCGTATTAGCGGACATGTTTGTGTTTTGTATTTCGGGGATTTGTGCTTTTCTCATCTTGTTTTGTTTTGTTTTTTCAATTACTTTTACCCCAGTAGTTTTTTTTTCTTTTCTTTCTCTTGTTTTAAAAACAGTCCTCTTTTTCATTTTATGTTTTGTGGTTTGTTTCTTGTTGTGACCATGACAGTTTCTTCAATTAACTTGATGTCATTGTATTAGCTGACATGTTTTTGTTTTATTTTGCTTGCGATTTTTTGTTTTAACATGGCAGTTTCTTCAATTAATTACATTTTTCTCACCCCAATATTTTTTTTTCTTGTTTAAAGAACAGTCCTCCTCATTTTGTGTATTGTGCTTGTTTTATGATTTGTTTTGACCACGACAGTGCCTTAAATTAACTTGATGTGGTACTTTATGAGCATGAGAGTTTCTGC